AGAAGTATCATTCGATTCGATTCGGCTTTTTTTCAATTTTTTTTATTCATTCGATTCGATTCGGTAGTTTTGAAGTTCCATTCGGAATCGATTCGATTCGCCCCAGACGAATCGAATCGAATCGAATTATTCGGCAATTCGATTCGATTTAGGTCTCTGTTCCCAACCAATTTGTCCTTCGATGTATTATTATTGACGCTGTAGATCTATCTGATCTGAGTGTGAGAGTTCTCATAAACCACATTCCCAATTCATCTATAACTATATTGATTCAAGTAACTTTTATTTCTAGTTTATTCAAAAACACATTTTCTCTGGTTTACAAATACAGTTTAAAAATTCCTCTCAGTTGTCATTAACAATAAATAATAATTCTTCTTTTATTTGTTGTAAATTATGATTGTATTGAAGAGGAACTGCACTACAGGACAATCGACCATAATGGCGTGCTAAATCTTCATGAAATTGATAGAAAATATATTCACGTAATTTTAAACGATGACTATCTTCGCATGATGGTAAAGACCATTCAGGAAACACCTTGCTAAATTTCTTGTATTCTTTCCATTCATTGTCATACCAGAAACGATGTCCATCACGTACTGATATCCCGCATGATGGTGCAACTATCTCATTTACCTGGGTTTGGTGTTCTTTCCAATATCTCCCGGCCAAACCTCCTGGCTGATGGTATGCATCATGGCGATCTCTCTTACATTTTTGTAATATTCTTGAGGTCAATCTAACTTTTCTTAATAACTCGTTGTGTATTACTTCAACCTCTGGTATATCAGTTGAAATAATATGTCCGGCGTCCAAGTGACAAGGTACTTTACACGTCGGACATAATACACCACACCGCATCCTAGCAGTATCATTATGTTGTCGATTGACCATGACTGAACGAATAGATATAATTGTATCTTCAATTTGTTGATCATCAAAATCTGGATACTTCAATCCAGCAATATATTGCATGATATTACATTCAATATCATGAAAAACGTTTTCATTTTCATCATCACAAGCATTATAAACACTTGCATCTAATGAAATCATTTGTTCAACTAAATACACTGGTAGTGATTTGCGCAATAGATTAATGAATAGTTGTGTTCGACCAGTTGTAATCATTTGTGCTTCCTGAGCTGCTGATGAAATATGCGTCTTTAAAAGTTGTATAAGCAAGCTCCATTGTGTTTTGAGTGAGCTACTCAGCTTTTCACGAATAAGTTGGTCCAAAACAAACATGTAATGTTTAGCTGGTGATTCTAAATTTTTAATGAGATCATCAATTTTTCTATTGTTAATCAATTCAATTAAATCTAAATCAGCGTAAGCTTGAATAACTTTTCCGCATTTAATGAATCGTTCGTTTTGTAATATTAATGCAACATGTTTTACGACTGCATTTGTATAGGCACCTATTAAATGTTCCTTTAATATGTTTATGATTTCACTTGTTAATAATTTGGCACCAAATATACCCTTTGATGCATTTAAAAAGAACTCATATAAACGATTTTTTTCTGAGTCTAAACGAACAACAATATTGTTCGATTGATTCCATTTATTTTGTATTTCAGTTAGCCTTTTAATTAAAAAATTATATATAAGATTATGTACTTTTTCTTCAAGTTTATCAGAACGAAGTCTTGACTCATATAATTTTCTAGTTGTTCTTGTTATTGCATCTTGTACAATATGGTAAGAATAACACTTCACTGTTTTTAGTTGTTCATTAATGTCAGTTAATAATTCGATTAATAATTCTGATTCTTTTTCTTGTTCGGTCGATTTACCCACTACATGCAATACTTTACGTTTCATAAGTTCACCCCTACCGACTACTGAAAGTAATCTCATATAACACTGCAATGAAGAATAATTTATTCTTAAGTCCCATCGCTTTCCAGCTGTGTTATTTGTATAAACTTTGTTGATTACTTGTTCAATTCGAATAGGCTGATGTTTTCCGCTCGCTTCTATTATAATATTGCGAAACAAGTCGTCAAATAGATTCTTAAGCTCTACTTCATTCAATGACTTCATTCTAACGCTATCAGCACCTTGAAATATATTTTTGATGTTAAAACGAAGACGTCGTTGATATTGACCAACAATCATATCAAATAGATATATTGAATATAATTTTTCACTAATTACTTCTTTCCAATGATCTGCTTCTTTGTGCTTGAATTGTTGCCAAAGGTCCAGTCTTGATGTCTTCCATTGTTGCCATTGTGGATCATCTAATGATGCAATAAACTTATCATCAATTACTTTTAATTTTTCACTAGCTACAGCGTTTAATTTATTTGCATAAACATCGATTTTTTGTTTAACAATCGATTCTTTTTCATGATCTGCATAGTCTTTCGCTGTGCATATATCACTTTCTGTAGCTCTAATTATTTCTCTTTCGATTAAATTATATTCTAAATTACAAGTCGAAGCATAATTTTGTGTTGCGTCTGCCAAAATTGTATCCAACTGATCATAAGCTTTTCTTTCAATTGCTGATGAAAATGTTAGATTAAAATCGGACGATATTATACAACGCCAAACTGTACTTATAAATTCAGTAAAATCATGTAATGTTCGAGCTTTCCATTTCCATCCTGATGCTGTTTGCGATGAAACAACACGTGTATGAATGTATTCGCGTAGTTTTGTTACGGCTACGCCATAATCTGTATCTACAGTGCCATCTTTATTTTTGATATTGCCGAAAAATCGAATATCACCATCATTATGATTATTTACATCTAGTCGAAAATCCCGAAATAACGTGCATTCTGTTGGAATATTTTCATTGATTTTGGCAGAACATTGTAATGATTGAAATGACGTTGTTAAACTACGAAATAATTCTTCAACATTAGGTATAAGATAATCAATTTGTTTTACATCCACACGACAATATACAAAGAACATCATTGAAGCTAGTTGAGTACCATAATTTTCAGCAAGTTGCGATTGTTGATAAGCTAGCATTACAATTGGAAGAACATCTTTTAAAGTTTCATCTTGTTCTCCATTGACGAGAATTACTGTTGCGTCCGCTGGTAGCACTGCAAATGTTGCTAGTCGGTTATCTTTCCACGCTGCTTGTTCTAAGTCTTTTAGTTCAGGTGCACGAAGGCCTATAGGAAGGATAATAGAATTCTTATGAATGTGAGGATTTACAATTCGAGTAAAATTTCTGACTAGTGAGTTAAACCTTCGTCATATGCTTTAAAGTTTTATTAAATACAATTCTATACAACACTGCATATAATAGTTCGTGTATTTAGAAGCGAACCATTTCTATTTAACACAACTTATTTAAAAATATTTACTACGTAACTTCATTTAGCACTTACTATTAAGTATTGAAGACTAATTTCAAGTTTCATTTTAAATTAATGGAAATGGTTCATCTGCCAGCGAAGTCTTTGAATAAAGACCAAGGGGGAAAAGGCGGATTTTTTGGATTTTGAAAATCCCATGAATCGAAAAGCATTTTTCCCTCTGTAAATGACCTAGTTTTGACCTGATATTCTTCCCATATATAGGTTTCATCGCCCATAAAAGATCCTAAAAGTTTCAACTCGAACAATTGTTTCCTTTTTAAAATATTGAATTTTCAAAAAAAACTGGATTTTCTAACCGTGTCGTGAAATAAGGATTTCTTGTGCATTCATTATCTTGAGAAGAAAACATCTGTTTGCGGTGAAAATTTTAGAATATTCTAAGGATCATGAGACTTACATATGGGAAAAAATTCATATGGAAAGTTCATCATTCACGTTTAGGATTTTGGGATTTTGAAAATCCCAAATCCGCCTTTTTCCCCTTGATAAAAACAGTAAGAAATACTCTTATATGAGAACTGAAAAAGTTTGAACCTAATGAAAGTGTTCTTTCACCAAGAAAATTTTATTTATTAAGCAATGTTTTTGTCTTACTAAAACGAAAAAATATAACGTTTAAAGACTTTCCGATAAATCAGAAGCTAACTTATGGTTTGTTCTTTGAGAAATTCTCCTTGAAAAAATTCATTCTGAGCACAGGTAAATACTACGCAACACTGACTCGAACTATTTCGAACGATATCAGCTCATACGAAAAAAAAGAACTGTATTTTTATCAGCATTCATGCTTACCTTCAGTATCCATTAATAGTATATAATCATACTCTTCGCGACCTTCTACTTTAATTAATTGGATATTAACACCACGAGTACATTGACCAGCACTTGAGCGGAAGCGTACACCAAACATTATATTCAACAGGGTCGATTTACCAGAACTTTGTACACCTATAATGCTTAGAACGAAAATTCTTACATCTTTTTTAGATGTTTTTTCTTTCAGTTTATCATTTAGAGTCTTTAATAGTACACTAATCCATTTTTCACAGATCATACCAGCATCCCCATCTAATAATTCTAAGGGAAAACCATCTATTAAATATTGGGCAGCCATTTCTGGATAACGATAGTAACGTTCTGGATCACACGCATATAACTGGCTACATTCTCTCCATAATTGTTCGATGGAAACAGCAGTAGCAGCATAAATGGCTTTAGCTTCAATGAACTTCTCCTTATAAAGATCACTATCGGGCTTTTCTTTGACTGCCTGTTGATATTCATGAAAAGCTTCATCACGCTTTCTTCGTACGTTTTCTATGGCCGGTAGTGAACAATTATCAATACCATTAATTAGTTCATTGATAGCTACCATTCTCTGATCGAAATTCGGATGTTGTAGAATGCTCGTAAATGTCTTAATGATATCTAGTTTTTCTATATTAGACATTTTATCTCTACGATATTTTTCTTGTACTTCTATTTTATGCTCTAATGCACGTTGTTCTGAATGATCATTTTTTAAGCGATTTAATTGTATTCGACTTTTGGATTCAATATGAAAGCTCTGTTGTAATAAAAATTTCTCCCGTCTTAGCTTTGAGTAATCTTGTCGTTGAATTGCAGCAAGCACATTGTTCTCAGTTAGTATTGGACGATAAAGTAGTCTTTCATCACTGATTAAGCCTAAAGTATTATGATTACTGTCAAACTTGCTCATCTTTGCAATACACGCTGCTCTTAATTGCTTAACTATACCATAGATTGTACCAGTTAATATATAACGATTATGTTCATCGCGTGTTGGTTTTACATTTACCTTCGAAACATTCCAGATGATGGTAGGTATGTGTGAAAAAGTTCTTGCGATGGTCTCCGATGCTTGTTTTATCGGTGGATCTTGTTCAATAATTAATAGATTTACAAATTTAGATATAAATGAGCTTAGCTTTTCATAATCTCCTATCACATGTAAAACAAGAAATGACCATTTTCTATCATTTTCATCATCAATGTATCCTTCAGCGATTTCAGCCATTGTTAATTGGGGATTTTGTGATCGTTGCAATTCGTGCGTCGAATGACTACCAAATGTTGCTGATATTAAATGAGATGTTTCACTTTCTTCGATTGATTGTTCTGAAACAATACCAATACGAAATAGTTTTTTATTGTCGTCTAAATACGATAATTTATTATCAATAGAAGGTAATGGAATGAATTTTAAGGCATCAACATGATACTGAAATGGCTGTTTATACTTTTGATCAACATTCTTTGTGATTATTGGTACTGCATATCGACGATCAAGCAGTAAGCGAAAAAGTTCTATTTTGGAAGTAAGTTTCGACTTGTTGGTTAAATAAACTAATACATCTGTTAAACTCTTTAAATCTTCAGAATCATCTTCAATATCATAAAATGCTTCATTTTGACCATCACTGCTAGACGGTTGCTCTTTGTCTGCTTCATGCTGATGAATAGTACCAATCCATTCATCCAATAATCGTTGATTCTCATTGTCAACTGACATAGCTGCATGTAATGTAGGACTAATTGCATCCAGTTTCATTCTATGACGAAGTCTGTCAATGAATCCGGCAATTGGAGCACTTTTCATATCAGCTACTGGCCGATCAATCATCCAGTCAATATGAGAATATTTTTCGTCTGCAGAACTTATATTTGTGATCATAACATTCATAGACCCATTAGGATTACCATGTATCAGATTAGTTTCTCTTAATTGTGTGTTTTCTTCTATGGCGTTAACATTTTTGTTTTGTATTTCATTTAGTGTATCTTCAATATCTTTAATTACAGCTTCTATTCCATCATGAGTCAATGATTCAGTAATGAATCCATCACTCGTCCAACCATGCTGGTCGGTTAACATATTCTCTAATTTTTTGGCTAGGCCAAGCTTTTCTTGTTCAGCAGATTCGCCTTTAATCAAACTTATTTTTAACACTTGTACAATCTTCTTCACAAGAGCACTTTCACTATCTATGTTTGTTGCATGCATATCACGTAAATGAGTTGGCAAGTCGTTCAGCATAGTAATAGATTTGCAAGTCAATAGATTATCATCATCATCAAATGGATGATTCTCTCTTTTTTCTTGAAATTCTTGACATTTCTGTAATAAAAGCGTTGTAACTTCATCTAAGTAAATAACGTCTTGTTTTAATTGTAAAATAGTTTCACTGTTTAATAAATGTCGTAGTGCTGGTAACACGAACTTCAATTTGCCGTCGTCTTTCGAACAAAATATAGCTATTGTGTGTAGAAAGCTTTTAATCTTATCACGAATAATTATCGTCGGCAATAAATTGAAACCAACTGCTAAGTTTTCATTGTAAATAATAAAGCACATACTGATTGAATAATAACGGTTTGGGGAAAACGCCGCTCCATTTCAAGAATAAGGTACAAAATATTACTATGAAGATTATAATG